AGCAGCACAACAAAGTGGGCAGATTGAAGGTCCTCTCAGCCCTTTCATCTTTAAAATATCATCTGTAGGCAGTAAGGAATGCCATAGTCTCCAGTAGAAAAAGGACATAGAGGGAGTTAGGAATTTACCCCAAATGGCTTTACCCCAAGGCATCTTGTTCCAATTAAAGAAATGATGGTAAATGTAGGCTGATAATTTCTAGGAGTAAGCCTGTTTAGTGATTATTTTTATTTGGAAATGGATGAGATGGGAGTATCCTTAACCCACCTCACATGATCAATGAAAGAATAGTGTTCAGCAGTCTGCAGTTCCACTGATTATCAGACCAAAAATCTCTGACTAGATAATTAGTGTTGGGATTGGGGTTGAGGCACTCAAGTTTCTCCAAGTTGCTAACCCAGTTATCTAACCAAAAGTTGATATGCCCATCTCCTAGCTCCCAAAGAAAGAGGCCCATCTCCTAGCTCCCTAGCTCCCAAAGGAAGAGTTCCTCAGGTTTATTTTTGATTTTCAGCAGTTTTGTCCATAGTTTGGAATCCGTTTGGAATCCCCTATCCTTTTGGATACCAAAGTAGGTTAGAAAGATCTGCAGTATTTCCCTTTTAGAAATCTTGCCCAAGGCTATCCTGGGACCTGAATCTGATCCATAATTTGCAAAGATTTATGAAACCCAGGTGTTGGAAGTTTTTAAAGCCCAGCCCACCAGCTTGCAAAGGCTTAAATAATTTCTGCCAAGGGAGCCAGTGAAGTTGCTTTCTTTGACCAGACCAGAGAAATTTGTTGAAGATCCTTCCAATATAGTCTTGAGTACCATTTTGTATGGAGACCATTTGTAGGACATAAGCAGGCATTGTGGTGAGAATACTCCTTAAAACAGTGATCCTCCCACCATTACAGAGGAAAGAGTTAGTCCAATGTTCAAGTTGTGCTTTGATCTGATCAATGACATCCTGAAAATATATTTGATATTTGTATATTTGACTAGTTCTTCCTTTGAGCAGATGTATTCCATGGTATTTAATAGGGAGGTTGGCATAGCTGAATCCAGTGTATTCAGAGATCCAGTGCTTGAGCTGAGGAGTGGAGTTTTTATTAATAATAAATTGACATTTTTGTTTGTTAAGTGCCATACCTGAAGTATGCTGAAAGTGGAGAAGGTATTTATATACCCTCCTGACAGAATTCTTGGCAGCATTGGAGAAAATAATTATGTCATCAGCATAAGCTAAATGGCTTATAAGGATGTTAGATCTATAATGGAAAGCCAAATGAGGTGAAATAGTAACCAACTTATTCAATTGTCTTGAAAGGTAGTCCATAGCAAGTATAAAAATGGTTGGAGATAAGGGGTCTCCTTGCTTGATCCCCCTTGTAGCATTGAAGAAGCCATGACACTTGCCATTGATCAGAATTGAATGTGCATTGCATTTAAGACATTTGTGTATCAAATTAATAAATTCTTCATTGAAGCCTCTAGCAGAAAGAGTATCAAGGATGAATTCCCTGTTAATGGTATCATAGGCTTTGCTTATGTCCAGTTTGAAGATGACATTTCCTCCTCTACAAGATCTGTCAAGATCTAGAAGGAGTTCCTGGGCAAGTAGGATATTGTCAGTAATATTCCTCCCTTTAATAAAAGCCACTTGGTTGTCACTAATGAGATGATGAAGATTGGGTTGCAGCCTAAACACAATGATTTTGCTGATTATTTTGGAGATCACATTAGTTAGGCTGATTGGTCTGTAATCCCCCCAAGTTTTCCTTTTTTGATTCTTAGGTATCAGAGTGATGGTGGAGGCACTGAAATATTTAGGGGGGTCCACACCTAGAAAGAAGTTTTGGACAACAAGCATAATGTCTTGTTTAGTCCTATCCCATGTGGCTTTATAGAGTATGTGTAGCCATCAGACCCAGTAGTTTTGAGACCATCAATGGAATCTAAGGCTTGTTTTATCTCATCTTACAAAGGGGTACTAGTGAGATTTAGATTATGAACATATTGCTGATAGTTAGTGAACATCTCATCTTCATTTGGGCTTCTAAAATCTAGTTCCTTGGTGAACAGCTTTTGGAAATGTTGGACTGCATCATAAGCTATCTCATCAACATTGGTTAATAACTTCCTGCCATTGTTAACTTCCTGCCATTGAAGTTGGTTAAGTTTAAAATCATGTTACTCTTCCTTCTATGATTGACACAAGCATGATAGTATCTAGTATTTCTATCATCATCAGTAAATTTAGTGACAACAGCTTTTTGTTTTAAGAAACATTCATGGTAGCTGATTTTTGCAAGGAGTCTCTCCTTGGCATGGTGAACCTCATATTCAGAGTTCATCCCCATTTGTAAACCTTCCTCCAAACTATGGACTTCTTTTTTGGATGGCCTCTAGCTGTTCATTAACATTACCAAATCTTTCCCAATTCCATTTTTTCAGATGAGAGGCTAAGTTCTTTTGATTTAACCATAATCTGATCCAGGGGTCTGCATGCAGGTTGGAATTCCAACTTTTTTCCACTTCCTTAATGAAATCAGGATGTAGAGTCCACATATTCTGAAATTTGAAGGGTGTATGAGTTGGTATAGCAGTGTTCTGTATGGAGCAAAGGAGAGGTCTGTGATCATATCCAGCCATTGAAAGGTGAGTGACAGTGAGAATGGAAAGGTTTGAAACCATAAGGAGTTGACAAGCAATCTATCCAATCTTTCCCACAAAGTGCCTCTTCTCCAAGTGAACTTTGAACCTTGAAAGCCTAGATCAAATAGACTAGCATCACTGATGAAGTTATTGAATTTGGCTATTGGAGAAAGTAAAGGGGCTTTATGTAAAGGGGCTTTAACCCCTCTTTTTCAGTTGGAGAAGTAATACAATTGAAGTCACCCCCCAAAATCCAGAAAGAGTCAATATTTTGTCTCAAAGTCATCAGCTCATGCCACAGTTCTTGTTGATGTCTAGGAAGGCTGCTAGCATAGATGAATGATGCAAATCCCTCCTGTGCTCCAATGGCAAACTGAATATGAAGAAAATGGTGATGGTTAACAAGTAACCTGCACTTAATTTCAGTTCTTATAAATAGCCAGATTTTATTAGTGGAGTTAGCAAAAAAATAAACTTGGAAAACTTGTTGATGATGTTTTGAGGATATTTGGTGACCTTAGGTTCAAGAATTGCAAAACACCAAATCTTGTGAATTCTGATGAGATGTCTTAATCTCAAATGTTGAGATGTCTTAATCTCAAATGAGAGGAGGGGTGAGCCACACCTCTAATATTCCAACACAAAATATTAGTCATGGGATTTTTAGCATTCCAAAGAGGAATACTAATCACTAATAGGAGAGAATTGAATGGAAGGTTGAGACCTTGACCTAATTCTTCCTCATTCTTCCTCTATTATATGTAGAGCTATAGCCAGAAGGAGTCTTAGCCTTTCCATCCTTCTTAGAAGAGTTTATTCCTTGTAGGAGTTGCTGCACCTCAGAAGTCAGCTTTTTATTTTTCTTGGTTTTCTGAATTTCCCAATCCTCTTCCAAGGCTTGTTGCAAATCAATGACATCAGCCTCAGCAATGCTAGGAGTGGCCTCATTGATCAGGGAACTTTTCATCACATTCTTTTTCCTTATTTTCTGACTATGCCATTCTTCTCCCAAAACCTGGTGCACTTCAACAGAAACAGCTTCAAAAGTGTCTGCCTCAGTGACCAAGGGGTTTTCCAAAGCACACTTCCCTTTTCTAACAAGTGTGGGGGAAGGAGGGGTAATAATACTGACTTCATTAGGTTTTTCCCTCACCACTCCCTCACCACCACAGCCTGGGGAAGTTTCCAAGTTGTTGTGGGGTTCTGTTAATTCCCCCATGGATCATCAGAGGGGAAAGTAGCAAGAGGATTAGTGTTCTTAACATAAATAGTTTTACTGGTTTGCCTGACAGCCTACTTGTGATTAAATGTAGTGGTATTATTGCTTTGTCCCTGATTAGAAACCTGACTAGCTACCCTTGGATTCATAGAGAGTTTTTTTGTAGGGGGTGGAGCCTATAGCATTTCTCAATATTGTGGCCGAACATTTTATAGTGTTGGCAGTAAAAAGGCTTTTTTTTCAGCAGTTATATCTTGCCAAAACCCCTCTTCATCAGAACCAATCCATCTCCTTTTAATCTCAGGGAGGGTTATGTCTCTTTCCACCTGAATTCTAGCAAGAGCAGGTCTTGCCTTATTGAAAGTAGGAGCATCCACCTTGAGGGGAGTACCTAGTACTCTCTCTATATTAAACAGTGCATTAAGCTTGAAGTAAGGTAATAGAAGACCAGGTAGCTTAAACCAAACTTGGACCACAGGAGGCTCCTTAGTTGGGTCGGACTGTAGTTTCTCCATCTTTGAAGCCAAGGGGGTAAATGCATGGGCAAATCCCTTTGCCAGCAGTAGCATTATGAAATTCCTGAGGGAAAATTAAATTTGTAGGATCTTGGAGAGTGTCATTAGCTCTTCCAACAATCCCTGCATAAGTAGCCTTAGTCCAACTAGAATCAGTGTCAACATCATTGTGGGTGGCCATGACACCAGCCACAAAGAGAAAACCCATAAACTATTGAGTAAGGAAACAACAAGCATGACAGAAAGCAGGAAGCCAGCAGAAAACATGAAAAATAGGAGGCCTCTAATGGAACAGTAAAAAAGCCACCAACCAGGAAAAACCAAAGAAGCAGTAAAAGAACCACCAAAGCCTAAGAAAGGAGTGTTGGAGAAAAACTTCAAAGTGTAGAAGGAGGAGAACAAAGCACCCTGAAGAAAGCAACAACCCCAGGAACACCTCCAGCAACTCACCATGTTGCCAGAAACCCTAGCAGAGCACTTCCTTCCTTAGCTGCCAGCATCCTGATATATATATATATATATATTGTGTGTAAATAAACATCAAGACCCAAACAGCCAGAAAGGAAACATTAGATGGATGACAGCTGATAAGAAAGGAGCTGGAGGCTCAAAAGGAAGAGCCCAAGATTCAGTTATGGATTCTAAGATAAGGAATTCGAAGGTTGTCCCCTTGTGTTAACAGTTGTAGAGGGATAGGATGGGTAGTGGAGACCACTGCATGGCTCAAGTAAGAACCCTCCAAAGCCAAAAAGTTGGCAGGCCTGTTGGCTTCCCTGTAGTTAAAAGTGATTTTCAACTTGATCTCAATGATAAGCTTCTTTATTCTATAAATCCACTCTTTATTCTGTAAATCCACTGATTTATGTGCCTGGGGGGTGGCAGTGACTAGCTCCACAAGGTGTGAAGAGTCCACTTCAGCAATAATACAATTCCACTTGACTTCCTTAGCAAATTTTAAGGCCCAGTAAAGAGAAACAGCTTCTGTTTCCATAACAACTTCAACAATGCAGGGGGCCTTGAAATAAAGCAAAACTTTGCCTGTGTGATATCTGAAAATACCTCCAATATCAGCTTTCTTATTTGTGAAATTTCCATCAGTGTTAATTTTAATGAAAGGATGAGGAGGCTTCTCCCATCTAACCTTAATAACCATAGGGTGTTTAGGACCAATATTGGTCATATCCTTCAATATCTGAGGGAACTTCTTCCAATTAATCAGCTTATGTAAATAGGCCTGGCAGTTAACTGCCACAAAACCAGAAGGAGACACACTGTCCTCATGCTTCACCTTGTTCCTAGCATTCCAAATAATCCAAACAACAATGAAGGGAAGTGGCATCAGGTTAATTTCCTGCCAGTCTCTCAAACTGCCTTTTAAATTACCCCAACCCACATTCAACAGGTTCAGGTTAATGTTAGTGTTCAGCTTATTCCAAACCTCCCTGGCAAAATTGCATCTAAAAAAGAGAAGATCACTTATTCTTGATTATTATTGCAGAGGTGACATCTTGAGGGGCCTTTCAATCCTTTCAGCTTCAAAATGTCATCTGTTGGAATTAAATCATTTAGTACTCTCCAAGAAAAGAACAACATAGAAGGAGTTAAGAATTTTTGGCAATTGCTAATATTCCACTTGCAATCTTCTTACCTCAACAGGCTATTATGGATGTCCTTTGAAATGCTGGATCTGGTTCTTTTTTTTTAGCTGAGTTTGGTCTTTTTTATTTCTGTCAAACTGGATTTTAGAGATACTTTTAGCAGCAGAATCTTTCAGGATTTTGTTCAAGGCATCGTCAGACCACTCATTGCCATTCCAACAGTCTTTAACTAGTAAATCTTCATCTTTTTCATCCTGTAGAGGCTTGAATTGATCAGCAGGCCACCAGTTATCCTTCCAGAAGTTGATCTCTCTTTGTCCCAGCTCCTAAATAAGATATTTGTCAATCTCCTCTCTTCCCTTAAGCATTTGGTTCGAAATCTTGGAGTCACCAACCTTCTTTGTAACATCTCCAGGGTGAGCATTTTTACAGTATTTTGCCATCATGAAGTTAGCCCACAGGCTTTCATTTTTTCTAAATATGATCCATAGTTTGCACATGCTGATTTGATGCATATAATGTAGTCCTTTAAAACCCAAGCCTCCAGCTTCATAAGGTTTAGCCACTCTTTGCCAACTAGCCCAAATCATTTGTTTTATGTTCCCACCCCAAAGAAATCTATTAAAAGTTCTCTCCAGAATCAAAGTGGTGCTTCTTTTCATATTATCCACTTGGAGGGTGTAGAGGGGGATAGAAGTGAGGATGTTATTTAGGAGGGTGATTCTACCCCCATTAGATAAGAAAGAGTTTGTCCACCCGTGAAGGGTAGAATTGATTTTATCTATAACCTCATCAAACTGGGTCTGTTTGATTATTCCTCTGACTAATTGGGTGCCCAGATAATTAAAAGGAATGCTCATGGTAGAAAAGCCTGTGAAATTTTCCATCCACTGCCTGATAGGAACAAGAACTCTCTTGCTTGAAAGAAACTGGCATTTTTCTTTATTAACTTTCAACCCAGATACCTTTTGAAATTTGTTCAAGCACTCATCAAGGTATCTAGTTGTAGCCTTGGTTGCCCTTGTGAAAATGAGAATATCATCAGCATAAATTAGGTGACTTATATTCATCTTATCTTTGTTTTGATAGACATTGAACCTATTCCTTTTCTCCTGGCCATCAATGAGTTTAGATAGATAATCTAAGACCAGAATGAATATAGTTGGGGAGAGAGGGTCACCTTATTTAAGTCCTCTATTTGCTTTGAAAAACCCATGTGCTTTCCCATTTATGAGGACTGAATTGACATTGGCCTCTAGCCATCTTTTAATGGTCTGATAGAACTCCACTGAGAATCCTCTAGCCTCCAAACATTCCATAATAAAGTCCCAATTCACCATATAATAAGCCTTCTTTAAATCCAGTTTTTATATCACATTTCCTCCTCTGCAGGATCTCTCCAAATCTTGTAATAATTCTTGAGCTAGTAAAATTTGGTCCCCTATACTTCTCCCTTTCACAAAAGTTGCTTGGTTAGTGCTAATGAGCTGGGGTAGAACAGGTTTAAGTCTACTCACCATAATTTTGCTGACAATTTTGCTGATTACATTGGTAAGGCTCAGAGTTCTGTACTGACACCAACAATTTTTAATAGAAGTCTTTGGAATGAAAACAATTCACTCTAAAGTAATTATAGAGAGAGTGGCCTTTGAAAAAGTGTTGAATAGCTTGAATAACCTCCACCTTAATCACCCCCTATGCTGTTTTGTAGAAGTCTGCAGTAAATCCATCAGGACCAGAGAATTTATTGCTGTAAATGGACTGTAAAGCTCTATGAATCTCCTCCTCCTTAAGAAATATCTGTTAGCTTTAAATTGGCAGTGAACTGTTTTCTTTCTAAAAACAATTGTTTATCTATGTGGCCTCTATCAGTAACATTATCATTCATGAGTTGTTGGCAGTAGGACACAACACTTTCAGCAATCTCCTCCACCTTTCTGATCCAATTTCCATTCTGATCTTTAATACAGTGAATAGTGTTGTATTTCCTCTTGTAATTGATGTAAGCATGATAAGATTTTGTGTTTATATCCCCTTCAGTGAATTTAGTTTTGGCAGCTTTTTGCTTGAGGAAATGGTCTTGCAAATTAATAGCAGCTAGCACTTTCTCATTGGCCTCTTAAAGAGCAGTATCATCAGTATTTCCTTTGTTGTGCTCCTCCTCCATAGCCTGCAACTCCTTTTCAGCCATATCCACAGCCTTCATCAAATCTCCAAAAGTAGTCCAACTCCACTTTTTGAGGGCAGAATATACCTTTTTTTGCTTTTGCCACAAGTTGATGAAAGGGTCAGGGTGTGACTCATTCTTCCAGTTCTCCTTAACAACTTGCAAGAAATCCTTGTGCTTTGACCAAACATTCACGTATTTAAAAGCACCCTTCTGATAGCTACTCTTTGGGCCAATGGTGATGACCAAAGGCCTGTGATCAGATCCAGCAAGGCTTAAATGAGTTATAGTAGTATGCAAAAAATTTTGGATCCAGTGGTCATTGGCTAAGACTCTATCCAGTATTTCCCACAAGTTCTTCCTTCTCCATGTGAAGGCAAGTCCACTGTAGCCCATATCAAATAAACCAGTATTTTGGATGTTATCGTTGAAATTGGACATCATGACATGATTGGGGGTTCTACCCCCCTCCTTTTAGCAGGTGATGAAATACAATTGATGTCTCCTGGCACAATCCATGCTTTATCAATAGAGCCTTGAATGTGCTGAAAGGTTTCCCACAACTAAGTTCTAGCTATTTTGGAGCTTCCTTCATACACAAAAGAAGCAAATCCATCCATTCCTTCAGTACTGATGTTCATATGTAGAATTTGCTTGTGGTTAACTAAGATAGAGCACTTCATTTCTTTCTTGCAGAAAACCCAAATTTTGTTATTTAGGTTAGTGAAAAGATTGAAGCAAGGAAACACTTTAGCTATATTCTTAGTGTTAATATGAACCATAGGTTCCAAAATGGCTAAGCACCAAAATTTGTATTTTTTGTTAAGATATTTTAATCTTTTTAAGGATAAGGGGTGAGCAATCCCCCTTATATTCCAACATAACATATTGATCATGGGGAGGGAGGGAAGGTGGAGGGTTGGGATCTAGATCTAGTCCTTCCCCTTAGTTTGCTTCCACTTCTATGGGTGCTATGGTCTTCCATTATAGCTAATTCCTTTTCCTTTCCCTTTTTCAAGTCTTCTTGTTCGGAGCTTCTTTTCTTCTTTGTTTTTTGAATCTGTCATTCTGATTCCAATTCTTTGTTTAGTTCTGTGACTATATCATCAGTAGAGGAGGCCTCCTCTTCTCTAGCCTCCTGCTCCCTTGTGTTCTTTATAGAATGTATAGAATCCCTTAAAGTGGCTTCCACTGAAATGTTCCCATTCTCACTATTGCCTGTCTCCACAGTCTCTCCCACTGTTTCACCCTTCTTAGCAAGAGAGGTCTCCACTTGTTGAGCCTGGGGAGTAAATTTATTAATAGTTGGAATGAATGTGTCTGCAATCTCAGCTACCATAAAGTTTTGATGGTAATCTTCTTTGCTGTTATCTCTCAGTAGATGAGTGTAGTTAGTGTTGGGTTCCAGCTGTGTGTGAGTTGTTTGTCTTCTGTTAGGTGGATTTAGCCTCTGTAGCATATTTCTCCCTAGTATGGCCAAACATCTTGCAATGTAGACAGTAATAAGGCTATTGCTCCATGACAACGTCCTGCCAAAATCCCTTCAATGAGTGTCTAATCTAAATCCTCTTGACAGCAGGGAGAGTTACATCCCTCTCCACCAATATTCTGGCAATAGCAGGCCTTGCTTTATTATATGTAGCAGCATCCACCTTCAAAGGTGTTCCTAAGGTGCAACCAATGTTGAATAAAGCATTTAATTTAAAGAGATGCAAAGGCAGTTTTGGTAGTTTGAACCAAATTGGCACTGTAGGGGGCTCCTGAGAAGGGTCATACTCAAGGGTCCATTTTAAAATTTTCATTTCAGCTCCTGCAATGATTATAGATTGTTTGACAAGTAATCTAGCATAATCTTCTTCCTTTGTCAGTTGGATAAGGAGGTGTCTGCCATCGAATAATCCAAGCTTACAGTCTGCTATATTCAGTGATTCAAAGTATTTCCTCACAGTCTCCATTTTTGGGTGCCCCGGCCTAAACTTTCCAATGAGTGTGAACTTGACTTCCAGGTTCAGTTCTTCAAGGTCCTGTTATGAGAAAACAGCAGCTGGTTCTCCATCTTTAGAGCCCACAGGATGGATGCAAGAGGCTGAACCCCTTCCAGCAGCAGTATTATGAAAATCTTAAGGGAAAACTAATTTATCAAGATCCACCAGGGAAGAAGAAGATTTTCCAACCGCTCCAGCATAGGTAGCTCTTCTCCATTGCAAGTTAGTCTCCACATAAACCCCAACAGCAACACCCCACAAGGTGCTCCAACAACAGATAAAACAAGTAAAGAAGGAGGGCTTCCAAAGTTGTTCAGCAGCAATGGAACAGTAACTAAACAGGACAAAGCTAATCCCAAAGAAGCTCGACAACAAATAACCAGGAAACTCCAGCATAACCCAAAAGCAAGAAAAGCCAAACCACTTCTTGAAGAGAGAACAATCTTCTTCCCACAGCTTCACAGCCTCTCCAAGCAGGGCCATGAAATATTACCTACTCTCTAACACCAATCACATGTTATATATATATATATATAATAACTTCTCTATATAGAGTAGGCCAATAAAATCCAGATTGTAAAATTTTATG